AACAATTATTTCTGTTGGCTGCAGATACAAAAACCGGAGAGAGGCAGCAGACAACATTAAAGGTTGAGCACATTTTCAGATAAAACACACCCACAGACACCTTTCACATAGAACAGAGTTCTGTGAAAAATGACCTGGGCCTGGACTCGAGAAGTGGAGGAAGACTCCTTCAGAACAAGATGACTCGATCTTCTTCACATGACTACGCCAATGAGAGACGATTTCTGCGCTTCAGATGAAGTATTTGTGCCCTCTACAAATGGATGAAAAGGTCCAATATTTTAAAATCTATTATATTATATTTTTGGTTTCTTACTGTTAATTTTTTTTTATTTTTTATTGTGGGTTGCAGCTTACATAAAACCAATCACTGACGCCTTCAAGGAAATCATCAAAAACTTTCTCAGCGAGAGACTATTTCATTAACACTACCTGGGCTAAGGAGAGAAAGACTGTCACAGTCGGTCAGGAATTATAGAGTGTCATGTCATATACTGGTGTTGTTCCACTGGGTTTTTAGCAACTCCGCAGTCAGAGGAGAACCAGGAAAAGTTATATACTTTCCAGCAGGACTTGGTACCACCCCACCCTGCCAGAAACTATTATACACCTACTACTATTGTCAAAACAAACAAGCAGAAAAAATGTCTTTATTTTTTTTAAATGTGCTTTTCTAGTCTAATGAAAGAAACAGAGGCTTAGGAGGTGCCATTCCTGACAAGATGCCGTCCTGGGCAGTTGCCCATGTCCCCGTATCTCATTAGCTGTAAACCATATTCGTCAAAAGTAACATAAATCAACACTTGAAATATACATCACTCTCTGATGACGCTACATAAAGTGTGAGTTGAAGGGAAATGAACTACTAAAGTGAAACTAGTTGAACTAAACTACATGTTTGTGTTTACTGACATGCACATGTTCTTCTTTGAGTCCCATACATACTTCCTCAGAGAACACTATGGGTAGTGCACAGAATGCGCTGTTAAGGCAGGAACAAAATGTTCCAGTGCGTGGTCGGGTACAGGATGTCCCCTATGTAAGTCATGCACCTAAAGACCAACCCTGTAGAAGTGTGACACGAGGGATGAATATTTTCTGTTCTCTCTCTCTCTCTCTCTGTGTGTGTGTGTCAGTCTCTGAAGCTCTGAGCTGGGTTCTTTTTGTGGAAAGCTAACACAGCATGGCTCCCATTGTTGTGATTATTATGTTAAACCAGGGTGTACAGTGGCTCCAAAGAGTGAGCTTGCCAATGAAGAACACAGTAAATTGAGATGATGCTGGAAACACCCAACTGCGACACTAACGGAGACAAAAGAAAACTGACAACTTGTTGAAGTGATCATAAACCCTTGCTCGACAATGTGGAAAAAAACAAAACAAAGACAAAACAACCTTCTGAACTCGGTGTTGTTTTTTTTTTTTTTATTATATGTCAAACAAATTACAGCCAGGATTCTGTCAGAAGTGTTCCTGTGCCTTGTGTGCGGACATCAAAGCCCCACGTGACATTACTCTTACCACCTTAAGCCCTCAGTCTCTGTGGCATCAGGTTTAATTTTAGGGCTCTGCGCATACTGTGCACGAAACTTGTTTACCGTGCACAGTCTGTTTGTATCCTACGTGCCCATCAACATGCTGCAAACAACCACAAAGAGCAAACAAAACCAGACTCCACAGCGAACATGCTGTGCTCCCATGCAGATCATCTGGAAAGGCTTTCCTGCAGTGCTACTTCACCAGAGGACTTTTACTGCTTTAACAACCTCACCTGACCCTTCCCAGCACTTTATACCCCCTGTTCTTCGATGCAGCTTTGATGTTGAGCTGCATCCATTATCATCGCCGCATCGAGACTCTCCAGCCCGCGAATCCAAACAGCCACAAACTGATATCTATTGTTTTTTTGTATTTCTGTATTGAGTAGCAAATAACGTTGATATGGATGGAAAGGGATGTAAAACTTGTATTTATTTCCTTATTTTTATTTTTTACAAGTAACACTCTGAAAAGTCAGCCGCGTGCTAAAACAGTTGCCACAACTTTGTTACATCCAAATAAAATTCAACGCCACAAATTGCCTCCAGACCCCCCACCTGCTTAGTAAAAGGAACTCCACCTGTGTGTAATTTCATGTATTTTTCTTCAACAGGGAGATGGAAGTGCTTCGTGAAGATTATAAAAGACGACTAAATGTAAAGAACAAAACCAAACGGGCATCTGGTTATAGGATGCCTCCTGGACGCCTCCCCGGTGAGGTGTTCCTGGCACGTCCCACCCAGAGGAAGACCCACGCTGGAGGGACTGTGTTTCTCAGGCCTGGGAACGCCTTGGGATTCCTCCAGAGGAGCTGGTAGAGGGAAGTCTGGGCTTTTATGCTTAAACTGCTGCTAACTTAATGGATGGGTTCCTCAAAATGTAGTTGATCATGTGATTTTCAAAGTTGGCGTCTATTCCGCCCAGAGGATTTTATGGCTCTATTTAACCATGTGTTTAAAAGCGTACGCTTCATATAAAGTGTTTTGTGGCACTGGTGGACTTTATTCACTAATAGCTGGAGAGGACATGCAGCTTATGATCTTTGGCTGGGAGTCGGACCAGAGACCACCGCATTGCAGACGGTAGCCTCTGCATATGGTGTACATGTTTCGCCGCTGATCCATGTGGAGTCACGTTTATTTAGTTATTACTAGCCCTGCGACAGACTGGCGACCTGTCCAGGGTGAACCCCGCCTCTGGCCCGGAACGCAGCTGGAGAGGCACCAGCACCTCCGGACCCCGTTAGGGAGAAGGGTGCTCAGAAAATGGATGGATAGTTATTACTACAGTAATATGAGAAGCTCCTATGCCTTCTCCCTGTGGTCCCACTGCTACATGCAGAAATTCACCACATACAGTCAAAAGCTGAGATTCAATGAGAGCCCGGAGGCGGGTCTTTGCGCTGTCAACCACTCTTGTATACATGCTTCTCAGACCCTCCCTTTTGCTACAGCTCCTTCTCCTTAGGAGGAGCCTGCTGTGAACGTGCCATTAGCCTGTACGTACCATGTAAGGTCCATCGCCAAGACCTTCCTCCTGGCTCTGATTGGTTGTTTCTGACTGTGAACTCGATTTTTTTTCACAGGTTATCTCTCTCATACTGTTATAATTCCTTGCCAGTCCAGTGCCTGGCAGCACAGAGACACACACTTTCACCTAGAGACAATTTAGGGATGCCAGTTAACCGAACAGTCATGATTTTGGACGTACATTCTCCCTGTGCATGCATGTGCCCAGGGAGAATATTCAAACTCCTTGCAGAAAGAGTCCTGCAGCCCACACATGCATTCAGATAAAACAAAAGTAAACTGAAATCGCCGACTCCTTCAGTCATCAGCCCTAAGCGACTGACTCTTCATACTGTTGATATGCGGAATGATTGGGGGGTGGAGGGTGAAAAAAACAACAACACAAAACTGACCTCAAGTCATCACACGGAACCTCCACTGTCTACTGGTGTCTAGTCTGCTGCTTTTCTCAGCATAAACAGAACCGAGAACACACGCAGAAAACAGATTTTGTCATCCACCGGAGCTGGTCTTCATCACAAGGCAACAGAAGTAAAACAAACCCTGTGGATGGGATTGAAGCCAGTGGTCAAAGTGAAGCTGCCCAGCAGGGGATGTAGGGGGGTTTCCTCAGGCAGGAGAAAAAAAAAACTTTAGTTGAACCCCCACCTCTCTACCTAACCACACAAACCCACAGTAAAAGAAGCTGCGGTGAGAACTGGCCTTCCAGATTCAAAACTGTGGACACAGAGGGGATTTCATATGAGAATGGTTTCATTTTTTTTTTCACTGTGATATCAGGTCAGATGCAGTGTAAATAAGTTGCTTTGTAAATAAACCCTTATCAGTCAGCGTTCTCTGCCGCCTCCACATCACATCAAGTGTAGTGAAGAGAAGCAGCAGATGCAGGCCAGATGCTAGAGACTTCAGTCATACATGCACCTAACCGGTTTTCCTGTTAATTCTCTCGTCACTGGAAAGCATTTTGTTTTTTTAGGTTCAATCGGAAAAAAATATCTTCATGAAACTGACCTTTGACATGTTAGGATGAAAGATTTATCTTAAAAGTAGCAGGTGGGCTTCTTTCTCAGCCTCCAGGAACCCCCCCCCCAAAAAAAACAAACAAACAAACAAACAAAAAAACATTCTAGTTTCCAAGCGATAAACATAAAGGGATATTTTACATTGTGGTTATTTTGTAAAGCTGTGAGAGAACAGGTGCTGTTTTAGTAGAGATTCCTCAAGCAATAACAATACAATTGCTAAACAATGTATTGAAATCAGGTTGATCTGGTTGCCTGATACAGAATTAAATGCAAAAACTAAAATGTCAATATTGTATCGTATAAAGACCTGGTTGAACTGCATCTCTGTCTCAAGATTGTCTGTTTCTCAGGGACTCTAACATGTCCAATGACGTTCTTGGCCACTAGAGGGAGCAACCAACGTTGGTTTTCTGAAAAATTCAAGCAAGTTCGGGGACAAATCGGCATTTAAAAGGGTAATTTGCATTACTCGGTAATGTGGGGTGCTGAAGAAAAAAAGTGCTGCAGACATGCTCAGGCATTTTGCGCCTAAAATTAATGGAAGGAAGCAACAGAGAAAAAGGAAAAAAAAATCTTTCGCTGCTGCCATCTCCTGGTAGGACCAATATAATATGATACACTTCGTGTTTTTTAAAAAGAACATAATAAAAAATGAAATAAATAAATATTGTTAAACACTGTTAATATTTTTTGTTAATTGTTTACGACTTTGAAATGAAAACACCTTATTGGATGTCTAAAAATATCCATGTATATTTTGGTTTATAAACGAGGTTTATTCTGCTTAAACGAGGTTAAAGCAGAATAAACGAGGTTAAAATATTAGCTCAATTTCACTTCGCGAAGTGACTGAATTTTGGCCTGCGCGGACCACAGTAGCGCGGCGCCGCCGCTCCGTGTTGTTTTGGTTAGCTTCGGCTAGCTTCACGCTTTTCGCTGTAGCCGGTTGTTGCGGCGATGGCTCTCCCATGAGGTGGGGAGAGCGGGACTGCTTTTCTCTGATTAAACATTGACTCAAGTGGCGCTGACATGGCCGGGGTTTTCGACATAGACTTAGATCAACCGGATGAGAACGTCTCCGACGACGAACTTGAGGATGGGGTGAGTTTATCGCTGAGCCCGCCGTTTGCTAACTAACAAACTAGCACTTGGCAGCTTTGCGGCCTACATTGCTAATCTCAATTACACGGGTTCCATTATCGGACATTTAATTGCCCGCCCTTTCCCTCTTTAAGTTGTGGTTATGTTTAGACTTTTATAAGATAAAGCCGTGACAGAATCACATGCATCTTCGAACCGATTCCTGCGCCCGAATGGTTGCGGTTTTCATCGATATTGAATCTCGGCGCTAGATACCAGGCGAAACATGCGGTTCGTTTAGCTCAGTAAAATACACAGTAAAGTTGTTCAGACATTCCCAGTAAATAATTAACAAGGAGCTTATGTTAGGTAAAATAAGCTGGAAATTCAAATTCGCGATATTGCAAATACGACACAAGTGTTACTCGTAAAACTCGAATGCTTGTCCGACAATAGAGATACCTGCGGTTTGACGCTTCATACTAGCGTCCGTCACCGCTACCGTATGTCACCACGAAAATGGGCGTTAGATAAAAGTGCAAACACTTTGACGTATTTACCTCTAAACGCAGCTTATCTTGAAAACAATTTTACGAAATTAATGACTGCCATACTGAGTATCAGCACGTCATTATGCTGACAAGTCTGTCCAAAATCTCTGCAGCGTTAGCTAGTTTCCCTTCCACTTTTTACTCCAGCGTCATGCAGGAAACCTCCCACTTTTTTTTGTTTTAAATTAAACTAATTAAGTATGGATTTTAGTTATGAATACGAACCTTGTTATTTTTTTTACTTGCTTGGAAATGACTCTGTATTCACGTCATTAAACATGAGCCACAAGGAAAGCATGTGTGTTGGCTTTAATATTTGTTTACATTGTCGCTTTTGCTTTTAGACCCAGCATGGTGAAGACATGGACCAGTGCAGCACCTTTGACTTGTAAGTGATGAGTCACTGCATCCCGACTGCTGTCTGGAGCTTAGAAGCTACACTTTTAATACTGACCTACCCCAATTTATTGATGTGACTTCTCATGTTGATTATTGTCAGCTCAAATGACTTTAGTTTTCATAACTTCATCTAATGGCTGAGTGCACTAAGTGTCTCTGAACCACGGGATCATTTCCAGCAGTAGCATTGACAGCTAAAACACCATCAGAGGGTTCTTCGCATTGCTGTTAAGAGGAATTTCTTGGATCGTATTATTGAATAATTAACTAGCGGGAAAACTTCAGCATTGTGGTTTTCTGCAATGATCTGTGCACAGTCCCTATAGAAGGCATCTTATAGTTGTTTAAGCTACAGCTCCCGATCCGTTTTGATTTTACAGAATCAAATTCGGTTTGATTCAGTTCAGGTTGTTTATATCGCGCTGGATTACTCCAGACGTCCCCTCGAGGCACTTTACAAACATCTGCAATTTTTATGCAGTCACAGAAGCCCTTTGAAGAAAACTCTTTGGTTTTCTGCTGTCTCTCACTGTCAACTGAAAGATCCCAGCAAATGGGCTATTGCATTGTGGGATGCGATAGAGTAAAAAATGGTGTCACGTTTTTATTATTATTATTATTTTGAAAAGCTTAAAGCCATACCAAACTTTCAAGACTGCTCTCTAAATCATGCACTATTGTTCTCTGAGTATTTTACAATAAATATTACCCAGAAACACACTGATATATTAAATTATCCATATTTCTTCCCAGCTCAGAATGATGAAACCCAGTGTCTCAGTGAGACTGACCTGCACAAATAAAAGTTACATAATTACTGATTGCATAACTTGCCTTCATCAGTACCGTGAAGGCAAGTTATCATTTAAAGAGTTAATCTAATTGACTGACTCAATGATTAATTGATATGCGACTATTTTCTTAAAAACTTGAGCTTTCTCTTGAATCAGTCGAAGTTTTTCTGACATGAAGGCAAAAAAGTTTCATTACACTACATTTTAAAAAAGTAAGTCATGTTTTACCCATTTTTTGTCATTTTTGTCAAGTACTGACTGAATAAACAGATAATTGTGGTTTTCTCACAAGATTAAACTTACGCATATTTATAAAATACAACACAGGAAATCACACGTTTGCTGAAGCTAAAAATAGAAGATGAAATATGTGAAATACTAAGTACAACAGACTTTATCGCCTTCGATTGAGAAGGCAGCACGACTGAATGAGCGTCATGAAAGTAAAACTTCAGGGACTTGTCTAGTTTTGAAATAAATATAAATAAATCTAAAAAATATCTCAAAACAGAACCAAATAAAGTGCATTTTTGCATGCCATTTCTCCTTACCCTTTCGGTGAGGCCACCATCTTTAATCCAAGGATGACCAGCGGCGCCCTCTGCTGGATGGCGGCCAAACTACACCACCAGAAGAACGTCTAATCGGACGTTATTAGTTTGATTGGAACTAATTTTAATCTCGTAAAGCATTAATTGACAGTTAATTGTAAGTCGATTAATTGTTTGCATCCCTGGTGCTGATAGATGCTTTCTAGAAACGCATGTTGAAGCTGTTCCGTTTTCCACTGGGCTTCATCTCCTCATCTCATCAAGCAGCAGGAATGCTAACCCAAATTATCCTTCAGAGAAGAAAACGTTGCTGGCTTTTATGAGTTAAAAGCAGTAAAGCTGTACCTTTTCACAACTATTAAAACATCCTAATTAAACACCAACTGTTTAATAAGGTCAAGCATTTTGAAAAAAGTTACATTTTTATTTATTTACTTTTTTGCACCTCTTGGTGTTTTTACGGACACGTCTGAAGAAAGCAGCGAGGAACATTAACCACTCTTACTTTAACAGACTGATCAACGGTTTAATGCGTTAATATTGTTTTCGTCTCTTGAAATGCTTTTCAGACCTTTCAGTAGGCTCGCAACGGCTCTGGTTGAGCATCGAAAAGAAAACGCACTCAAGTCATTTTGTCGTTTTTCACTCCAAAAACAAAAATGAAACAACCGCGTGCGAGTGAACATTTTAGTCAGCTTTTGTTTTTGTATCTCACGTTGTTTTTGCAAATTAGAAAGCTTTTGCTCATGTTTAATCCTTTGTAAGTACTGCCTGGTGACTTGTTTTCAATTTTTGTTTCCCAGCAACATGGACGGGTGTGAAAAGTTTGAGATCTCAGAGAACAGCGTAAACAAGGGAACGGAGCAGATCGGACCGGAATGCTTTGAGCTGCTGAAGGTTCTGGGAAAAGGTGGCTACGGGAAGGTGAGGCTTCGCATTTTCTATTGTCATCCCCCCGATATTTTCCTTTCGACGGATCACTTTTCATTTCACTCTTTTGAATCAATAACAGTGAGGTTTGACTGTTTTTCTCGCATTTTCAAGCCTTTGCTGAAATGGAGAACACGACAGTAGTCCAGAGTGATCCCAGCCGGTGGGGGATTTTTGCACCAAAGGGGCTTTATACAGGAAATGTCAGGACAGTTTTACATTGTCATTGTTGTTTATCTACTCCGCAGCTCCACTACGTCAATATTTGTGTTTGTGGTCAAAAGAAAAAACAAAAAGTTTGGACCCTGAACCATCGGATCTCAAATTCATTACTTTGCAAAAGTATGAATAGCTTCTGAATTTTTACACATTTTGTCATGTTAAAACTACAAACTTGTTTGTTTTTTGTTTTGTTTTGGGGTTTTTTCAAATTCTGAATTGAAATTTGCTTTTAGGCCCTTTAACTCGCGTCTCACCATTAAAAACACCATCCCTACTACAACAAACATGGTGGTGGCAGGATCATGCTGTGGGGGTACTTTTGCGTGGTTTGAGCTGGAGTCAAGACAACTGGAAGAAAAGTGATAGATGCTGCAGAAGACCTTGAATATCCTCTCACCATCTTAATACCCGTAATCATACAATTACAGTAAATTAGTTTAAATAGGATGGACCAGTCAAAGGCCAGAACCGAGGCATTTTTTCGATTTGTTTAGAATAACCTGCAAACATTTCAACTTTTTTTTTTTTTTTTTTTTTTTTGTATTATATAATTTCAGCAACAAAGCAGTTCAAAGAGCAACATCCAGTTATTATGAATCAAAGACAGCTCTATTTTTAGACTTGATTTAAAGAATGTCAGTGTTTCAGCAGTCTTGCAGTTTTCTGGAAGTCCAGCACAGAAACCGAGTGGAGCCACACGTTTCAGATATTTTTGGTGAAAAAAATAGATAAAATTACATTCCATATTGATGTGCTCTTTGTTTCTTGTTGGTGTTGAACATCTCAGAATATACGCCCTGTCGCTACGCCAGTCCTGGAAGCGGTGAGCCGTGTCCTCATTGGTTTATTTTTGTAATAGCAGGGATGGGTCTTAATCATCCCAGCAAGCGGAAAAAAAGGCGAAAGTGAGAGCAGTTTACTTGTTGCTGACTGCGATGAATCGTTCTGCTTAGCAGCAGAGTCCGACGTCATTTCAAGTGGAAATCCCCCCAGTTTGTCTGGAATATGTCTAATTACGCTCTAACCTCGGATTATTATCTAATCGTCGTGTCTACTTCTGGTAAATGAACTTGAACTTATTGCTTTGGCTGGAAACGTTGCTGCTGCTGCTGTTGTTGTTGTTGTCGTCCCCTCGCAGCGAGCGCAGATACCAGCCAGATGCATTAAATAAACTACCTGCGTTCTCGTTGCGATGACTGCATAGTTTATTACTGGGACGTGGCTCATTATTAACCGCAGCTCGCATCAGCCGCAGCTATTACGTCTGCAGGAAACATTGTTTACAACTGGCAGGTCCAAGAAATACCTGCTTTGTAATTGCTGGTTGTGTTTTTAAATAATTGTGGCGAATCTGGTGGAGGTGCCTCAAGGGCGAAACGCGGCCGCACGACACGCGCCGCAGCAGCAACCTCTGTGACGCTCCATTGTGTCACTCCAAGGAGCAGTGACACAATGATCCATTAGTTTTTGTTCCTGCAGTTCCAGTTTTCTCCGAAGACCGAAGTTAACACTTTCAATGTGACGGTCATTTCGCTCCGTTTGATATTGATGCTTTCCGCTTCTATGGTGCGATTTTAATTTGACAAGTAATTTGGTTTGTATTTGACGAGCATGTTGTCATTCCAGATGGTGCAACTCTGCCACCTGCTGACGTAAATCAGCTCCTGCAGGACTTTAATACGTTAGTTCAGCCTGCTGCCCAAAATAATCACGATAGATTAAAGTGAGCATTGTTATGATGTGCATTTCTTTTCAAGGGAAGTTTTGTTTGTAGAGACATAATCCATTTTATTTAAGGTGTCAGTTGTGTGCGGTTTTTGATACCATTTATTGATAGTTAAGATATCTCCCAGTTTCAGAGTTAAATGTTCTTTACAAAATAAAAGTTTATTGGTACTTAAAGGTGCAAATGTACATTATCATGCCATCATTAATGTCTTACTTGAAAGTCATCTCAAAATAACAACATGGCTTTTGACATGATGTGTGTTTTGTTTTCAATTTTCTACGTCTTTTTAGTAAGTTGTTTTTTTGTTTTTCACCTTTTTATTTTATTATCATTATCATTATTATTATTATTGTCTTGGGTTTTATCTGTCCCTAGTGTAAACATGTCGTTTTCTGCGTTTTTGAGTTGAAGCTACAGAGATTTTACATTTAGATAGTGTCCTATATAACAGTATATTAGGATAGGAAACCATTTTAAAGCCTTCACACACTGATGAGCTCACGGTGCTGCATTGCTGGTGTGTTTTCAGCTTCAGACTGACTGATTCTTATCGCTGTTCAATTTTTAATTTTTTTTCCCCCTCCAGGTCTTCCAGGTTCGCAAAGTGACAGGTGCTGCCTCAGGGAAAATCTTCGCCATGAAAGTTTTGAAGAAGGTCAGTGGATCTCTCTAATTTCCTGGCGTACGTCAGAGGCGACCTCTAATCTGCAAAAATACTCAGCGGAGAACAATCGGTGGGTGATCTGTGCGTAGCCGAACTCTTGAAGAGCGGCGCTCGTGTTTCCCTTCCTTCCCAGGCCATGATTGTGCGTAACGCAAAGGACACAGCACACACCAAAGCAGAAAGGAACATTTTGGAGGAGGTGAAGCATCCCTTCATCGTGGACCTCATCTATGCCTTCCAGACCGGAGGAAAGCTCTACCTGATCCTGGAGTATCTGAGCGGTAAGCCCCGGCGGATTATAGCTCATGTTCTGCTGTGGTTTCTATAAATACGAGCATATGAAACATTGGGTAAGTTCATTTGTGTAGTACGTCTTGAAACAGATTGTGGTGACTGCAGGTGGAGAGCTCTTCATGCAGCTGGAAAGAGAGGGGATCTTCATGGAGGACACGGCGTGGTGAGAAAAATCTCCAGCTACAGACACTGAAAACACAGCGATTAGAGGGGAGAGAATATGCACAAGTATCCACAGTCCTGTTAAAAAGTCCAGCTTTCTGTTATTTTTAAGAGTCAGACCAAAACAAATCATTTGACAGGCATTTTCACGTTTAAAATCAAAATAAGGGATTTTGACACTTCACTGATTTATGCTGTCTCCGTTTTTGTAACCAGTCGCCGAAATTACGTTGCTGAAGTGTTTTTGCCGTTGACAGTTTCTATCTGGCGGAGATCTCCATGGCGTTGGGTCATCTGCACCAGAAAGGGATCATCTACAGAGACCTGAAGCCTGAGAACATTATGCTCAACAACAATGGTACAGACAGCTCCCTCAGACTGAGGAGTGCAGTCACACACTTTTAAAACATTTCTTCGTTGTTTGAAATTAGAAGCATGGAAATACGCATCAAAGTGCCTCAAAATGCCTCAAAATGTAAACTTTTGGAGCAGAAGCCGACACGTTGGCTTCACCAACTTCTGGTCACTGATTGTGACTTAACAATGCTGTGCTGGACTTCGGGTTTTATTACGACATCAAGTTTTGCCCGGAAAATCTGCTAAACCCACTGGTCGTGTTTTTTATATGAAAAATGTGAAAGAAATATTCCTGGGTAACTTATGTTCCTGGAAGACATTGACAATACATAAACACACAACTATTGTGTTAAAAACAAAAAAAACATGATTCAATTTGGCAGGTATGGAAAAAATTATAAATGAGAAACACTCAGTGAGAAACACTAGTGGCAGTAGTAGTTTAAAAAAAAAAAAAAAACTCTATATTTGAGAATTATTGACCTAAAATAAGTTCTTATATCTTGCTGAAAAGTTAGTTTAGTCTCATTTCAAGGGTACCAAGATATTTTCACTCAAAACCAGGCAAAAATCTGTGGTAAGATTGAATGTTTTTGCAGTGTTCATGAGCAGAATTGTTTTCTTGTGGAAAGTTGCGCTCGTCTCCACCTGCTGCCAGCGTTGAGCGAGCTCTGCGCTGGCGGCGGCAACATTCCCCTCTCATTTAGAGAAGATTCCCTTAAGTCCTCTTCGCGACGAAATGGAAGCCTGGTGTCCTAAATTTGCAGGAGTTTACGTTTGGTGCGTGCGTGTCTTCTGAGGAAAACAATGATTCCAAAACACATCTGGTCCAGTTTCCTATCAGATTGAAAACATTGTGCCAGAAAAGCTCAAGTTAGCAAAACACGGCATCTGCCGAAACCTTTTGACCATGACCGTGCGCATTCCTACATCTGACGTCGATATCTGCGTCACGTGAGGAGCCTGATTCGAATCAGTGGCGAGCGCGCTGAGCTCAGAGGCCTCCGTACTTTAGCGATTTATTGATCATGTGGCGTCTGAAGCAAGTCTTCGTCTGCTTTGCAGGACACGTGAAGCTGACAGACTTCGGTCTGTGCAAGGAGTCCATCCACGACGGCACGTACACCCACACTTTCTGTGGAACCATCGAGTACATGTACGGTGATCTGTTGTCTCTGCAGTCCCCGTGGATTCATTTGAGCTGCCGTGTGAACGACGTCCTTCCTTCCTTCCCTCCGCAGGGCTCCGGAGATCCTCATGAGGAGCGGGCACAATCGCGCTGTGGACTGGTGGAGTCTCGGAGCGCTCATGTACGACATGCTGACCGGAGCAGTAAGATCTCCTTTATTTTGTTTGTTTGTCTGCTTTTCACAGCTCAACTCTTGAGGTAACAAATCCAAGAAGAAAAGATTCGTTTTCTGACCAACCTTTCTCCGTCAGCCTCCGTTCACGGGTGAAAACAGGAAGAAGACGATTGACAAAATCCTGAAATGCAAGCTCAGCCTTCCACCTTACCTCACGCAAGACGCCAGGGACCTCCTGAAAAAGGTGAGCTGTCCAAAGCCTCGGTAGGACCGACGATTATCTTAGCGATCGATGAATCTGTCGGTTATTCTGTCGATTGATTGGATAAAAGAAATTCCACAGATTTTTTTTGGATTAACCTCTGGAGACTTTTTTTTTACAATGTTAGAAATTCATAAAAAGATGCAAATAAATAATTCAATTAGTTTTCTACATAAGAAAATAAACAATTCATTGCCCGAAATGCAATAACACAGTATTCCTTTAGTGAATCTGATCTGAGTGAAGGCAAAACAAACATATTTTAAAAGCAAAATCTGTATATTTTTGTACAGTTTTGTCTTTCTGTTTTGAATTGTTTTGACTCTGTATACTTGAGTTAACAATTACTTGATCACTAAATTACTTGACAATCATTTCAACAGCAGATTAATCACCATAAATCAGTTCAATCGTGATTTACCGTGGGAAAAAAAAACTGGAAATAAAACCATAAAAATGTGTCAACGAAGCTGGGAAAGCCCCTCTCCAACCTGTTTTCTTCCCAGCTGCTGAGACGAAGTGCCTCAACACGACTCGGCGGTGGAGTCGGTGACTCCGCTGAGGTCCAGGTAAACGCATCCATCTGCATCCCGAAGGTTGAAAAGCTTCGCCTGTGGTGTGTCTGAAGGGAGAAATGCCGTTTCTTTCCAGGCTCACTCGTTCTTCCGGTTCATAAACTGGGACGATCTCCTCGCTCGCAAAGTAGAACCTCCCTTCAAACCGTTTCTGGTGGGACTTTTCCATTTCCTTCCCATTTTACTGACAACTGTTTTGCTAGCAGGAGCTTTACAGACATTTCTACATATATTATCCCAGTTTTGTGACCCTGCAAGGTCAGCCCAGCTCTCGTAGGCTTTCATTTCGCTCCAACACCCATTCGCTGTTTCGCAGAAATCAATGGTGACCCCTTTTAACTGCGCGGTGATTAACAGTTTGGCTTCTCCTGGCAGCAATCAGCTGACGATGTCAGCCAGTTTGACTCCAAGTTCACCAGCCAGACTCCAGTGGACAGCCCCGACGACGCCACGCTCAGCGAAAGCGCTAATCAAGTCTTCCTGGTGAGTTCCAAGTGCCAGACGGAGCGGCACGCCGTCTCGGTTAGAGAAGTGTTGGGCGATGAATAGGTCTTATTTATTAATCCGATTTTTGCTTTTTGAAAAGTTAATCTTTGGAAAATCAGGATTTTCTCTCCTTTTAAAAAAGTTCTTCGCTCAGAGTGATTGTAGCACGCCATTTTGTTTGACAAACGTATTTTACAGCTTCTATTTATGTGGGCTTTGAATTCAGGTCAACTTTCTGATGGACTACTAGGGACACACTCAGATTCATATGATGAGAATAAAGTCATAATGTTACCAGAATACAGCCGCATTTATACGCAAATGAAGTCTTTATATGACCAGAATATAGTCATAATATTCAGAGTAGTAACTCCAAAAAAAAATTACGCATGCCAAAAAAATACATTTTCTTTTTTCTAATTAAAATGACCTTTTCATCATTTTAAGATGTTCTTCTGGTAAAATTGAGTATTTATTCTGCTATTGTTATGACTATATTCTCGTAATTAAACTAAATCTTTTGGGGCGTGGCCCCAAAACCTATAAATCGGCCCCGATTTTCCTTAAGTTTGGGAGAACGGTGATCAGCCAATCTCTGTTGCATATGAAGCTGATATTCTTTGCTGTGAGAGAGAACTGACAGACCAGCACGACCTCTGACTTCAGGATGTGCGCGGTCAACAATCATCCTGGGTGTCTACGCATCCTTAAAGTCTTATTTCTCATACTAGTTGACCTTCAACGCATTCATCACAGGTCTTAAATTTTGTCTTGGCATGGCTTTTCAAAACTGATTATTCTGTTTAGGTTTTTTTCGCAGGAGTTTTCCTTCAGGCAAAAAGTTTGAGTCACACTCGGGCATCTTCACTGCGTTTGCTAACACATCCTCGCGAGCTCACTGCCTTTCTCTTTTGCGTCTGTCCTGGGTTAGTGCAAATTTATCACGAGTTGGCTGGATAGACAACATTTCTGTTGAGGTACAGGTCTTAAATTCCAATCCTACTGGTCTTAAAAAGTCTTAACTTTTGATTTAGTGAAACCTGCGAAAACGCTGCGGTCACCCCACTGCTGCCAGCTTATGAACTTGTATGTTTAGCAAATTTTTAAGAGAAAAATAATCCGAATCGGTAGGTCAAGCTTTTTAAAGATCCATCGATTGACCACAAAACTGCACTTGGGCAGAGAAACGGTTTCCTCCAAAGGAAAGAACACAGCTAACATAGCATGTAGGAGTAAGACTGATTGGTTCTTCTGTCAAGCTTAAAACTGTCTGACTCATGTCAACAGTAACCTTCTTGGTGGATCTCTAGTGAAAAAGCAACATGTCATTGCCACTTAATGTCAAATGGCTTTTACTTTATTGATGCATAAGCCATGTAGTCATCGTCTTTGGCGAGGACTACAGAAGAAGAAACAAACACGGCGCCTCCTGACCCTCTCAGCTCCCTGAGATTTGCCGGATGCTGTTGACCAATCTCCCACTTTAAAAACATTCTTGTTTCTTTCCTAAATCTTGAACTTAATGTCCCTGATTTCAAGTACGAGTGCCAAACTGTCTGCGATTTGGTTTGCAGGTATTCTGCAAGTAAACTTGCAAAAGAAAAAGAGAGCAGTTTTGTCCGTAATGTCTCTCCCGTTTCTTTTTCACCGATCATTGTCTTACGAGAACCGGTTAATGCCTCCCATGTGTTTTACACATACACAGACACCCCCGCCTTCCCTCCCCAGTTTTCCTGGAAGCTTCTCGCCCTCTTCCACCACATTGCATGTTATGGTTTACTCAGTTTCATTGCTCATCATCAGCTGTGGGTTGTTTTTGGAAATCTGGTCTTTGAAGAGGCGGGACTCAGATGTCTCTCTTGTTTTTTGTCCCTCTGCTCTGCTGCAGGGTTTCACGTACGTAGCGCCGTCTGTGCTCGAGAACCTCAAGGAGAAATTCTCCTTCGAGCCAAAGGTCCGCTCCCCGCGGAAGTTCCCTGGAAGCCCAAGGACACCTGTGAGGTAACCGTGCTGTTTTTGTCTCGGGTTTTGTTGAATTACCCCAGCCTTTGACAAGTTTTTCCAAAACAAGTCTCCCCCTTGTTGATGACTCACTTGCTGACCTTGTAAATGTAGCTCGCTTGCTGGAGCTCTGTGGTCAGAGCATAGTTAAGTAGTACGTTTGCTCTGAGTCTGCAGATACTCCGATTTCCAATCATTGGCTTTTCTAAAGTTGCTCAATTGGCAGATTCTGATTCCTGTTCAAGAACTGTTGCTGAACTGCGTCCATTACGTAAGCAGTCAAGTGTCCCATTCGGATCGTAGCTCTGCCAAACCCTCAATATGAACCACTTTGTCTTTTCTCATCATCCAGCTTCATCCAACACAGTCTCAGGTCCTGTGTGCTTTCAGAGCAGGCTGTTGAGATAGCAGAACCAAAGGGGGCGGAGCTTACAACCTCACAGCGTTTCCTTCATTGTAGGCTTTTGTTCTTTTAATGAAAGCATCTGCTCTCTGCACCATGTTGTTTATATACTAACTATGCGAGTAGTTTCTACGACAAAGTATTAAGGACAGACTAAGAATTTATTTACTTTTTAAAATATGAGAATAAAGTCAATATAATGAAGGAATAAAAAGGCTTTTTAATGACAAATAAAGTTTCGATTCAGTTATCAAGATCTGACATTACCAGTTCAACAAGTCTTTGTGTTTTTTAAATTTATTTATTTTTTGTAAATAGGCTCGCCCTTTTTGGCTGTTTGAAAATCCCGCTACTGATAATATTTTGATGCCGATGTGTAGAAGGAGAAAACATTCTAACACCCGAACCACGTTCTCCAGCCAGTCACATTTGACACTTCTCCTGTGGCTCCACAGTCCGGTGAAGTTCGCCGGAGGGGACTGCTGGCCCCGCGGGCCCCCGCTGACCGACGCGCCGGCCCTGCTCTCCCTCAGCAGCTCTGTGGACCAACCCATGGAGGTCTCCACGCCGGAGCAAATGGACACGAGCAGCGGCTTCACCACAGAGACCTCCGCTCCCCTTCCCATCAGGCATCCCTCCGGCCTCCATGCGGGCTCCTACAAAAAGCAGGCGTACCCTTTGAACTCCCGGCGGCCAGAGCACCTGCGAATGAACCTATGACACTCGGCTCACCTGTGAACCCCTCCTCCTTTTTTGCGTTTTTTTTTTTAAATTTTAGATAGTTTCTGAAACTTTTTGACTGACCACGCTGGCGCGGATCACCAGCTCTTCCAGCAGCGCCTCCTCCACTGGCGGTGGTCTTGGTTGAACTCGGCCGCCATTATATGATTTTACTGGTGCTCTTTTAACTGCGGATCTGCGCTGTTTTTTTTCCTACGGTGTTCTTTTTCTAGGACAGTGAGAGTTAATTTCTCCTTTATGTCACCGTTTTCAGGCGGTTTAAAAACATGCTTTTGGGATCACGTATTTAGTCGTTAAACCTATCAGACGGACCAATCATCAAATCCCTGTTGTTTTTGGGTCAGAGTGGGTAGGTGCTTTACGGTTAAAAAAAAAAAAAAAAAAGTTTGAAAAAGCATTAATATAAAGATGATTTCCATTCCCAGTCATGACCAAACGCTGCCGCTGCTTCTTGCCGTGTAACTGGAATGTTTTCCGCCGGGCTTCTCTGCAGAAGCGGCTTTGTTTTGAATGTAAACGATCCAGAAATTTGTCTCCTTCATCTCCTTTACTTCCTCCATGTAATGACTCCTGAGACTGTAAACCAGTGCGGTGTCATCGTTTGGTGCAGAAACAGGTCGTCAGAGTTAAAGGGAGAATTTTTTTTTCATTTTTTAAAAAAATTATTATTATTTTTGGAAGCTGTGTTGTACGAACTGTGGAGCTAAGCCATTTGACCCCCTTTCTTAAATCAAACTGACCGCATGGTGGGTGGCAGATTCCTCGTCTCTCACAGTCCAAACACTTGGGAATTTCCTAAACGGGCCAAACGCACTGTTCCAATTAGCCTGCTGTTGTTGTTTCTGGGAACTTTTGGAAAACAACTGAAGAATCACCGAGTTATCAACATTGAATGTTTTGTCCATATTTTATATGTATATTTTTTTACCATACTGACACTGTTGTACTTTTTTTTTATTATTATGATTTGCATTATTGATATTTTTGTAAGCAGTGATCAAGGCTGAAACAATAATTAGTGTTTGACTGAACTGACTTTTTTTTTTCTTTATATTTCTGTACTCCAAGATTCCTTTACTCCAATCAGTCACTTAGTTTATTTTTATTTATTTCTAGTGCCATTTTGTTTCCACTGTATTATGCACTCTATGCAAAATGATGTATTTATAGTGTCGTATTAAGAGCTACAGAATGTTGGTCTTTTTCTCACAGTAATGATGTACAGTGTGATTTTTCTTTCCACTTAACTCATCTTTAAACCTCTGATGGAGCAAGTTTTTATTTAATATTGGCAGTATTTATTTTGTGAAGCATTACATCCATAGGGGATATTTAAAGAAAAATAGATTTTTGTTTTTAAGACTGTTTTATTGCAGATATAAACCAATGGGAGTGGCATTGTGCCTTTAAGTTGCAGTGTACATGATTGATGTACAGTTAGCTGTAAATGGGATTAGCTTCTGGATGAGGCTGGGATTGATCCCCAACTTTCACTCTTTTAACAGATGTGCACTTCTTCGCTTTTCAACACTGACGTGGGACGTTCTGACTGGAACGGCTAAAGCATCTTCCACTTTGTTTCTGGTTTCGTTGTTCCCTCCCCAGCTTGAAAGGGGCAAATCTAGGAATGGCGACATGTATCATGTACATAACGGAATCATAATAAAAACAACGGTTTGTAAATGCTGGCGGCGCGGCGGACTGCTTGGCATGCACAGCGGAGGGAGACGGCAATAAGGTTTTCCACTTTTTCTAGTGTGGAAATCTGTACAAATTAACTGGGAAACAATTTTGAGGGGAAAAATAAACCACTGAATGTGGCCGGATGAGTGTCAGTGGCCTTGAACGCTTCTGCTTCGACAGAACATCACATTTTCGAAGCAAACGGAGCAAAAGCTGCTGCTCAGTGGAAACCTTCCAACAACACGTCAAATCTGCACCAAGAAAATCAAATGTAAATATTTATTCAGATTAATAAAAGTGAAGTTATTTCAATACATAAATAGAGCCCAGTCTTTGGTCTTTACAAAAAGACAGTGAAGTCACCCCTATAGAAAAATAATTTATGTGAAAATCAACCTCAAAGTTGGACTTTAAATCAGACATGGAAAAAAAAAAAAAAAACACCAAGATCTTTGCCCAGAGTATAGAGGTTTGCCTTGTTTTACATTTATCAGTTCACCAGTGCTGGATGAAAATAAAATAAAAAATGTGCATTTGTTCTGAATTTTAAATACTTGATGTGACTCTTTATGCATCCCGTGTCAGAAACTACTCCAGCAGAATCAATTCCGACACCTGGAAGGTTTATATCGCCATAAAAGGTGAAAAAAAAGTAACTACGACTCAAAAGGAAACTGAAAGGAAATCTAAAAAAATTCTTCAGGACGCACGTCAGATTTCTCTGGCAGAAGAGATGAACGGTAGAAAACCACGCCACCTTCAGGAAGCCTCCCCCTTAACCCTCTACTGACAAACGTGCAGAGCAACAAATGCTGGTGAGGTTCGAAAAAGAAAAGCCAGATTGCAGAAAAATGAATAGACACTCGGTGGTCTGTGCCTGGTGACTCAGTAAATCTGCGGGTGAGGAGAAGTGGCTCCGTCCCTCCACTTGTACACCTTGTCTGTGAGGATGGTGTGGCAGACCGGGCAGCTCTTGTCCCGGTTAAACCACAGAGCGATGCACTCGTCACAGAATATGTGCTGCGCAGGACAAGAAGAAAAGCGGGTCAGCAACTTCTACATGTGCAGCACTCCAGCTACTCCATGCGATTTGCCGCAAATTAATAATTAACAGATTCTTGCATTGTTTTGGCTGAGAACCTTAAATAGTGACTTTATCTAATTGAGATGTTAGTTCTCATGCCACTTTCTATCATAATTAGACACCAATATTGACTGAGCCAAGACGTAAAAAGTATTTAAAAACTTTCTTCTGATGGAGAATGAAACGTGTAATACTCAGTTTTTTATTAGGGATGCATCGATCTGCTTTTTTCGCTTCTGATACAGATACCGATATCTGAGGTTCATCATCACTGAATTGACTTAAAACGTTTCCTTTTTCAAACAGTTATAAATAAGTTAGACATTGATTTGATAACTCTGCACCAGTACAGCACACTTAAGATACACCAATAGCTTCACATTCTTGGTCAAACGTAAAAACATCTGGAACGAACCTTTCAAATTCCTCAGAAAGTGCAATTAGGAATTTTAAATTTAACAACTGGACAGATCTGCTCTTATGGATCGGGCACATTGTCACCAATACCTGATCCAGAATGTCATAAATATCGAATTGGTGCACCTCTAGTTTTTATGCAGAACTTGTGTTGTTTTCCTTTACCTGGCAGATGAGAACCCGAGGGTCTCTGAATTCTCCTTGGCAGATTCGACACTTGTCTCCAGCATCATCGCACTGAGCTCGTGTTGCTGCAGAGCCTGTATGCTGGAGCAGCATTAAAAAGATGTGTGAGCTGCGCGCGCGCACACACACACACACACACACACACATCTGTTTGGAAGCACAGCTCTTCGATGAAAAGAGAAGGCGTTTAGCACTGACCTCGCCTGCTAGAAATATCCTCACAGTTTTCAGTAAAGATGTCCGCTGGTTGTAAAATCCTAAAAGCTAAAACCGGGAAATGTTCAATGTAATAGAAATCTAGACTTTGCTTCAATTTTTTTATATCTTTATTTAGGGTTACAACATCAAAAACCACAGAGGACAATAGCATAAATGTAGAGACCCACCTTCAGTATGAGGTAGAATACAGCCAACAGGATCCCAGTTGTGAGCCCATAGACCCCGTCAGACTCCTGGTAGCTGACCAGGTAGCGGAACCACAGTGGAACAGGCGCTGTAGCTTGGTGCACTTGACCCAGTTTCTCAGTCAGCATCAGCCACCGGCCCTGTACACGGAACAACCGCTCAACATGAATCAGCTTTTTCTTCTCTTAAACCACAATCGAAGCAACCCGACAGTCGTACCTGGGTTCTGTAGGTAACGAGTGCTGAGGGAACCAGCAGGATAAGGCACTTGATTCCCATAAAGAGGAACTTTATAATGAAGTTGGTGATCCCGACTGCCCAAAGGATCTCCCAGAAACCCAGCGGCTCGATGGTTGGACTTAAGAAGATGAGGCTGGAGGGAATTGATGTTCGAGTTACAACAACGTGATGCTCTTATAGTTCAGACTTGGACTGCAGAAGCATCATCCTCACAGTTATGCATTACTTTATGCAATTTTTATCACAATTACTTTGTCACAATTTTTTTTTCACTTTGCCCTCCGTAAAACCTTCACAGACCTGGTCTATGAAGATTTTCTGGGGGTGCCACTGACTTTATGTTCATCACATGGCATCAATAAAGTACAGAACAAAGTTCAAAGAATACAAATATGTCTGCAAGCCATTGAGTCAGCTGCTCTTCTTAAGGATAATGTGTCTAAAAAAAAATACAGAGTGAAGTTACCAGCCGCCTGACTTCTTCGAACTGGTCAGAGTTGGTTTCAAACATTTGTGCAGCAAAATTTTTTGTTTGTGCCGCTCTTGTTTTGTACTTTAGTAGTTTAGTTGTTTACTTTTGGGAGAACAGTTCAGGTTTTAACCAAGTGTCTCTCCCAAAAACATTTTAAAAGAAAATACGAAACAAGTGAGTACGCCTTACCAGAAGTAAAGTGTCTCTGAGAGAAAAGTGTAGTACAGCAGGAGCGTGGAGGAGATGAGGAAGACAAGCAGCCATATGCAGCGCAGCTTCGAGTGACGATCCTGTGGGTGTGCGAAGGAGGACAACTTTTTGAAAATGTCATCGATGAATGCATCATTCTGGAGCTTGGAAACTAACACTGGGGCTTACCTGAAGAAAGACTTGAGTTTGAATGTTTTTATTCACATATAAAAAAGTTGTCAGAAGGCCCACCCCGACTGCTAAACCTGGGAGAAGAAGAGAAAGCGCACCGGTTGGCCTGTGCTCACAATTCACACTAATATCGTTACCATAACTCGTCCTCACCCAGAACATGCTGGATGACCAGCTTAGCGCACAGTACGACGAGGAAGGGAATACTTTTTTGGATCCAACGGAACAAGCAGCGAAGCTCGGTCAGCGAGGCACTGGTTTCACCGGAGTCCCTGTCGGGGTTGGGCGGGTCGAGCACAGGCTGTGTGTTAGAGTGGAACTGCGCCCGACTGTGTCCGCGTGAGTGAGTGTAGGCGTAGGAGTACGTGTGGGAGTAGACCCTGGACCTCCTGGACGACGCGCCTCCATTTGAATCTCCAGAAGCCCCGGTCATGGATACCCTGACCTCGCTGCTGTCAGCGTTGGAGGCAGCAGCGGTAGCAGTAACTGGTGTCCCAGTGAGAAGCTCTGGTTGCAGATTTAAGGATAAACCATTTCCTGCAAGAACACCCCGTTCACCTGGATTAGGCTGCATTACAGTAGGAGACTCCCTCAGTTTCAGTGGTCTTCTGGAATCACGCCTAGAAGGAAAACAGACCTGTCAGTGTGTGATGTTCTTGGTTCTGCGGCAGAAAATTATGTACGTCAGTATTTATATATATATTGTTTTACTTATTTACTCAACTGTCTCGCCATATTTAATAAAACTGATTAACAAACACTTGAGCCAGCAAATTCCCAAATAATGTTTTCAAGAGGAGGACAAATATAGCAAATTTCCAAATTTCAAGCTGTCTGGGACTCAATTGAATGTCTCTAATGAAGTAAAATATCTTGGTCATGTGTTGAGACACTTTGTCTGATGATGCAGACATTTACCGACAGGTTCGAATGCTATATGCTCAGGCAAATATCCTGGTCCGTAAGTTTGGCTTCTGTACTGATGAAGTGAAACTGCATTTGTTTCGATCATATTGCACATCATTGTATACAGCACATTTGTGGTGCAATTTAAAAAAAAACAGTCTTCAAAGATTGAAGGTGGCTTTTAATGATGTTTTAAGACTTTTGTTAAATAAGCCCAGATGGACCAGTGCCAGTGAACTGTTTGTATCTGCTCACGTTAGCACTTTGATGGCTGTTTTAAGGAAGCTTATGTATCAATTTATTTGTCGTTTAAACGAGTCAACAATTATTCTATTGTTGACGAATGTTAAATATAGTGCCATAAAATATTCATCTGCACTCTGGAGACATTGGTATGATTGCCTCCTGACGGGTTAGTTGCCATTTTTTAATGCACTTTTTTATTCTTTTATTGTTTTTCTTTTCTTTTTTGTATATTTGGACTTTGAGTCTGTGTAATAAATCAATCAATCAATCAATTTCTACTAAGCTAGGCGCTAATTCAGACAATATCCACTTTAGCAGCTCGACAGAAAACACAGCTAACACTTTCCTTCACCACAGCTAGCTGTTAGCAGCTAACAGCTGCTTCCCACCAGCTCGTAAAGCTCCAGCTCACCTGTAATTCTGGACCCGCTGCTTCATGATAACCTTCTGGCCGCCATTTATTACAAAATCCGGGTCTCCGAGCGAAAGAAACGCAAAACTAAACGAAAACAGAAAGCAAAGCTGAGCTGCTGGCTTCTAAGCTAGGTGGCTCGTGCGAGACATTTTCGACGTCGAAAGCGTCACAGACTCCTTTTCTCTCTCGTCTCTGTGGGTGTAAAATGTAGCAATACCGCCACCTGTCGCAAATACTTTGTAACTACAACGTTGTGACAACCGAAATGTATCAGTAGAACCGCCGAGATCAGAGTGGCTTTTATGCTTTTATGACTTAGAGATTTGTTTTAATCCACAGCCACACATTTCTGACACAATTTCAACTCATATCTAAAAGGATAAAAAAAAAAAGATAACAAATTAGACTGGAATCGTCAGCATTCCAGTCTAATTTTATTTCACCACACACGGTTTTAACTGGAATCTGGTCAGTGAGCTCCGGCCTCCTCTGCATTTCCCAACACGGACTCACTTTTGTCAGTCCACATTGTCTGACAGACAAACAGTAACATTTGAGATTGTCAACTGACAACCAAAAGGGTGATCGGAGGCTCTGAGTTCTGCTATTACACACAACCACCTCAGCCTCAGATTCGTTGTTTGTGGTTTCACAAACATTGTCCCCTGCTAGACCTCGATGTTTTCAAAGTGTTTGAACCACCATTTACAGTCTAAAAAATATACAAGGAACAATTTAATGCCACAAGTGTCTCAGAGAGTGTAGTACTTTAAAATATATATATATCTTACAGGAAAAATCAAAGTTAGATGATGCAACGGTTGAAGAGTATTAATTATTAAGGCATAGTAGAAGTTATTTTTTGCATTTAATGTTAGGTATTATGAAATCTCTATATCAAAAGCATGTTTTTATTGTGGCTTGTCTTAATGAAGAATTATTATAGTTATTTTATGGAAGTTATAACATTTATGTGACTGGAATTTGTAAATATAACACTCTTATACAAGGAAAAGAAAATACTTTTGTTGTTATAATGAGTCAAAGGAAGCCCAAAGTTACCAAAGGTCAAAAGTAGAAGTTTAATTCCAACTTCTGCAGTGAATGAGACGGGAGAACCAGATTCCCTTTGAATCTAGTATGTGCCGCTCCTGGGTCCTTGGACAATTACCCCAGAAATGATTCAGTGATTACATTAACCATAATTCTGCACTTCATTTGATTAATTTGGTTGGTCAGTGGCTGTCAGTGAAAGGACTGGCTGTTTTCGGCAAAATCTCACATCGGGAAAGGAAAGCTCAGAAAATCTCTGTCTCTTTCTCTTCCGGGTGGCAAAACCGGAAAGCAGTCGAGACTGCCACACAATCTTACATGTTACAAGTTCAGCAGACGGGATGTGTCTTGTTGAAGTCTTGACCAGACTGAGTTGCAAAAATAAAAATAAACAGAGGCGTCGTATGCATATTCAGTTTACCTCATGGTATTTAACTGTAAACACTTCCAGCTATATGTATTATTGCCAGAAAAAGTGTTTGCGACCTCTTTATTTGAGACATTAGTAAAGTAACCTCTGTTCACCTGATGATATGATTGGTGCTTTGATTGGGCTAGAGAGTGAGCAACACAAACATAGAGAGTTTTTTTACTCTAGCTGCATTTATTTAACAGTCAGAAAGTAGGTTAGAGAGGGGCAAAGGTCAATGGGTCGGGACTCAAACTTGTGGTGGCCATGTAGAGGACTAAGGCGAAGCACCTTACCCTTGGACCGCCGTTGTGTAAATCTCCATAATGTTTTAAGATTACACTTTATGTTTTAGTGAAATGATTTGTTGTGGCCATAAGCAAAATTAACTGATGACCTTCCACTGATTAACCATGATCCTATAAGACAACTTTCAGTTTCAGAGATTGTCTTTACCTGGACAGAGTCGGATCTGGATATCCATCACGGTGGTAAAACGAGGTTAATGTACTGTGGCTGTGTGAGCCGTTCCCCTGCTTTGTTCTCCTCTCAGTAATTGTGTTATTGCCCGACAGGATTGTCGGTGGATCTGCGCTGACCCAGTCACGGCATCTTAGTCGAGTCTGTGGAGGGAGGTTAACCTGACACAGAAATTGCTATCTGCCAAGATGAATGGAGCTCACCAGAGAGCAGATGAGGAGAGCAGTGACCTGACATCATTTCTGACAGATTCTGAGCCTCCCCAGCCATCTTTCTCTGCTCCTCTCCTTCTTCGTGGTGCCAGCTGCCTCCTTCTGTCGTTCTGGTCCGGCCAGACAGGCATGGAGGTGCAGTCAGCACATAAATGTCTGAGGCTGAGAATTCATTATTCATTCATTATTCATACGCAAGGGAAGTTAAATGTTGTAACTTATATTATCCAACTGTATTGTAAGGGTTGTTGTGGTTGGTGATGCTGTGGGCAGAAAGGCTCTCCAGTAGCAGTTAGTGTTGCAAAAAATCCAAAGTCACTAACTATGTATATATGTATACAGTATGAATACATATATATATATATATGTATATATATATATATCAAACTCAAACTACATTCCTCCACCAGACTAAAATGATGGGTTACTGTTGCTCCCATTTACTTGCTCCTTCAATATCCAGTAGGTGGTGCTGTTTGATAATTAATGTGCTTAAACTACAGGCTAATCAGTTCCTTGGCAGCAGAGAAGCACAACAGCAGATAATTTAACTCAGCTAATTCAAACTCAACAATAACCGGAGTGATTTAGACCTAAGATGACAGGCTGTAAATGCTGGACGCAAACACCGGTGCTTCTTTCATATAATTATAGGTATCTGTAGCCAGTCGCCACTAAACATGGAGATTTACTGCTCACTATGCAGCTGAAACACATGCAGCCATAAAGCAGACTCGGAGAGAGCAGATGACTGCCGTCTCCACAGCACAAGCGGTGAACACCAAAGGAGAAGAAAGAAAATCGTTCCGCGGTGACCTTTGTGCATCACTGCTTGTTCAAAACACATCCCATCATCCTCCCCCTGACTCAAATATCTGCCACTGCTTTTCCCTTTCATCTTCAGACGCAGCTTTTACTTCCGTCTCCATGAGGGATGTAAAAAAAATAAATAAATAAAAAGAAGTTATTGGCGGCGACACAGTCCCTCAATTGTCAGAGTGATCGATGTGTGCAGCCCGGATCTAGGCCACTGCATTAGTCGTGGAGGCTCTTAGCCGCTCACCGTGGATTCACATCACTGCTCGCATCTTGCTGCCTCTGCGGTGTAATTGTTTTGTTATTGCAGCTCAGACCGAGTCCATTTAAATGTTCACATTGCGCAGACAGCTTGATGTGCGTTTCCTGGTCGGTTTGTTTAGTGTCACTGCAACTAGTGGAGATCCTGTGGAACATCTGACCATAAACAACACAACCCTACTTATTAAAATGGTTTATTAACTTCTACTGTGACATATACGTGTCTGCTTTATGGAGCCTCTTCTAATGGGACTCTCAGAGCCAGAGTGTAACCGCTGTGAAATGCTCTCAAGTTACACCTTCAAAAGTGACCGATTAGAAATGGATACACCTGTCCATGGAGTTTGGAGGGAAGTTGCCCAAGTTTTAATGTATCATTTCTGTTTCAGGTGATCTGCTCCAAGATTTGATTGAAAATCACATTCATTAGGGAACATTAAGACATTTTTAAGACCATTATGAATAGAAATTAAGGCCAAAAATGTATGAGCTCCACAGAAATGCATGAACGTTGTCCAGCCACATGGTGATACATTTGCACTCACCCAGCATAGATGCAACAAAGCCAGTTAGCCAGCAAGGCCATGTTAGCACCTTAATTTTAGATGCAGGAATTTGGGACTTTCTGAGGACAACCTGGTTGGAAGCAGGAAATTTGCTGCTGAAACCCCCTAAGGGGAGATGCCAATAGTTGAAGACAAGGTACATTTTCATAATGCTATAGTGATGTGATCAGTGATAATTTAATATAACCAACATGACGAGCAAGAGCAAATGATTAAGTCAGAGAAATAACAAAGCCCTCACAAATGTAAAAACATGTCTTATTCGTTTAATTTTACCTACCATTGAAATATCGAAAAGAATCAGAAAATATTCTAAAAATCATTTCCAATACATATAAAGTGCAAAAAAATAAAAAAATAAGAAAAAGGAAGACATGTCTTATTTATGTACTTGTTTTAAATCAAAAGCATCTAAATGTTCAAAAAGCATTATACATTTTTTAAAATGTATTTCTAATACATATAATGTGCCAAATAAAACTATGAACGCTTGTAAGCTTCCCGATTAACATCTGCCCAAGGCCTCATCGAATTAATGGTCAGCCCTGCTTTGAAAGAAGACAGCAGTTTGAAGCACCAGTCACAATGAGCTCAAACTACTAAAAAAAACAAACTTCTGTGTTCCTTTAAGAGGCAGCATGATGCTTTCTATTGATGGCATGTCATATCTCAGCAGAGGTCCTCCTCTTCCTCTCTCCTCTGGTAGCTGGAGGCCAAAAGCCTGGGCTGCTACGCCAGTCCTAATAAATCCCCAGCTGAGAGTGGCGGCGGCAGCAGCAAGCCTGCATTCTTCAGGAGCCAGCACTTCCTTTAATCCGCCCCAGAGTTAGAGCAACAGTTGGCCTCGCTGGCGGCGACGGGAGAGGAGAGGAGCAGAGGAGCTGAGGACAGGAGGGGATTCCTTAGCGACGAGAGCGTGATGCGTTTGCAGAAACAGCGGGAATGTTGGAATTGGACGCGCTCAGACTCATGCTCTCCCTTAAGTGCCTTGTGTACAGATTCATAGGCTGATTTTGGCAGATGTGTTGGCTTTCTCTAGCGCCTTGTGCTAAACACAGAGACAATCAGAACGCATTGCCCCACCTGCCACACTGGATCTTTTTTTTCTCCATGATGTTTGACAGCTCTGTCCCCTCTGGTGTGAGTGTGTGTGTGTGTGTGTGTGTGTGTGTGTGTGTGTGTTGGAAAAAGCAAAACTATAATTTAAAAAAAAGGGGAAATGCATTGCAGATGTGTGCAGTAATGTAGCCTCTTGGAGATTTTGTTATGATACTCTTCTGTCTTATCAATGACTTTTAAGGGTTTCTTGCGCTGTGTGGGATACCTTAAATCTATTTCCATCCCTATAAGTGCATCCCATTAGCTGACCATGAGGCTCATTAACAGGC